CTTTTTAGTAATTTCTTTCTTATTGCTTGTTAGTTTAAATTTACATTCATGTCTTGTATAGTAGATTTATTTTCTTGTCTTTATTTTATGCATTTTTAATTTGTAGAGTACATTTATTTTCTTGTATTTTTATTTCTTTTGCAATTTAGTTAGATTTATTTCTTGTTCATAGTGTAAAGTTTATTTCTTTTGCAATTTAGTTAGATTTATTTCTTGTTCATAGTGTAAAGTTCCTTGTTCTTATTTCTTTCCTTTGTAATTAGTTCTTATTCTTTTTTATTTCTTGTTCATAGTGTAAAGTTCCTTGTTCTTATTTCTTTCCTTTGTAATTAGTTCTTATTCTTTTTATTTCATTCCTTACTTTTATTTCTTAAAATGTGGAACTAATTCTTGTAGGAATCTTAGAATTACATGAAATTAGCTTTATTTCCCTTATATTGTATGAATTATTCTCTTATGCTTAGAATAATCATGTATAAGATAATCACTAGAGAACTAATTGGTAGAAGAAGAATTTGATAATCAATGCTTATCTTGAGTGATTTGATAGGTTATGCTTATGAATTCTAGAATTATTATCTAGTTGTTATTCTTGTCATGAATATTACTTTTGTTTAGAAGATAATTTGATAGGTTATACTTTTCTTAAATGGTTTGATAGTCTATGCTTAATAAATCTAAAGTAAAATATGATAAAAAGAGAATAATTCATATTTTGTAATTGAAATTAGCTAGTGGAATTCAATTCTAGATTTCTCATATCTTTAATTGAATCATCCATCTTTTCTTTCTTAATTTTTCCTTAGTTCTTGATTTTCTCTTATTTGTTTCTTGAATTTTATTTCCTTTATTTTATTTTCTTATGATTTCATTTATTCTTTTATCACATCCACTCTTCATTTCTATCATCAAAAATCTCATTTATTGACTTTTGCGCATATTCACAACACTACTCATATCTCTCCACAATCACAATTTTTATCACTCCTAATTGTCACGTACACAACATTAAAACCGATTCTAATAATTTCTTACAAACACCTTCCTCGTGGGATCGATAACTCTTTATACTATAACTTGATTAGTTGTTCACTTGCAACTTTTGATACATATTTATGCCCCATCATATACCATGCTAAGTGTGTAAGTGTGTGTGTGTGTGTGTGTGTGTGTATACAGCTATATATTATATATACATATATTATATATAAATGTATCATATATACATAATATACTTATACATTATAACTTGAGAGAGAGAGAGAAAGAGAATCACATAAATATATATTATATATGTATTTATTACATACTTACATTATGCTTATTTAAGTACAGTTTACTTATATGATATACTTTTATATATACTAGATGTAATATACTTATATATAATTATACTTATGCACTTATATATACTTATATAACTATAATTCTATAATACACACATATAAATATACTTGTAACACACACACACATATATACACATTAATGACCATATTATAATATAATTATATATAAATATATATATATATATATATATATATATATATATATATATATATATTATTATATGAGAAAATGGGTATGCTTGGTACCAAGCACAACAAGTTATGATTGAGGTAGTGAGGTGACATAATCCCCCCTCCACTCATTCAAATGGTTTGATATCCACATGCACTCCTCACCGATGTGATATGACCTTATATATGAATGAGTGGAGGGATTGTGTCCACCTCCTACAAGGCATATACCACATATTTTGCTCTCTGTCTCTCTCATCTCTCTGTCTGTAGTATATTATATATATATATATACATATATATATTATTTATATATATATATATATATATATATGTGTGTGTGGTGTAGTGTGGTGTGTGTGTGTGTGTGTGTGTGATGTTGTGTGTGTGTGTGTGTGTGTGTAAGCGGATGCGTATGTCTGAGGCCTTGACCGAATGGACAGCCATATAGACACCGACATCCCCTCTGTCACCGCCGACCATTCCGGCCATGTTGTTCTCTCCTCTCTCCCACTAATTTTCCCTGCACTCTTTTTTTCACTCCAAAACTAAAAAAACCCTCAAATTCATTGGAGTTCTAGTCGGAGGATCCGTCAAAGAGCAGATTAGTCTCCGACACTGAAGGCGAAGAGGTGGCGAAGAATGAGGCGGAGGAGGCGGTGACGGAGGAGGAGCTCGAGGCCGTCGCAAATTCAAGACCTCTAAGCTACCGGTTTTTTGATAATTTTTGATATTAAGTTCAAGTCCAAGATGAAATATTAAGTCTAATGAGTTAGAAGTGAAGTCCAATGACTTGTATGTTAAGTCTATTGGGTTGAATAATAAGTCTAATAACTTGTGTGTTAAGCTTATTGGGTTGAATAATAACTCTAATTTGTTGAATATTAAGTAATGGATTATATGTTAAGTCCAGTTTGGTTCAAGATGAAATATTAAGTCCAATGAGTTAGAAGTGAAGTCCAATGACTTGTATATTAAGTCTATTGGGTTGAATAATAAGTCTAATAACTTGTATTTAAGCCTATTGGGTTGAATAATAAGTCTAATTTGTTGAATATTAAGTAATAGATTATATATTAAGTCTAGTTTGGTTCAGGTTAAGTCCAGTTTTGGTTCAGGTTAAGTCCAATTTGATTCACGTTAGGTCTAATTTTCATGTTAAGTCTAATTCAACTTGTTTTAAATCTAAAAATAAGTTGTTAGACTTAACATGAATTAGATTGGACTTAACATCAAATTAAATTTGAACTTAACATGAATCAAATTGGACTTATATTAGACTTAATATGATTTAAATTAAACTTAATTTAAATTAGACTTAATAGGAATTAGATTAGACTTAACGCGATTTAAATTAGACTTAACATAAAATTAGACTTAACATGAAATTAGACTTAAAATAAGTTGAATTTTAGACTTAACATGATTTAAATTTAACTTAACAGGAATTAAATTAGGCTTAACATGAATCAAATTGGACTTAATATGAAATTAAACTTAATTAAGTTAAATTAGACTTAACATGATTTAAATTAGACTTAACAAGAATCAAATTAGACTTAAGAAGAAGCAAATTAGACTTAACATGAACCAAATTTGACTTAACATGAACAAAAATGACTTAACGTGAACAAAACTGACTTAACACGAACCAAACTAGACTTAACACGAACCAAACTGGACTTAACATATAATCCATTACTTAATGTTTAACAAATTAGACTTATTATTCAACCCAATAGACTTAACATACAAGCCATTGGTCTTTACTTCTAGCTCATTAGACTTAATATTCCATCTTGGACTTGAACTTAATATCAAAAGTTGTCAAAAAATCGATAGCTTAGAGATCTTGAATTTGCGACGGCCTCTAGCTCATTTTCGTCCTCCTCCGGCACCGCCTTCTCCGCCTTGTTCTTCGCCACCTCTTTGCCTTCAGTGTCGGAGACTAATCTGTTCTTTGACAAATCCTCCAACTAGAACTCCAATGAATTTGAGGGCTTTTTTAGTTTTGGATGAAAAGAAAAAGAGAACGGTGAAAGTTAGTGCGAGAAAAGAAGTGAACAACATGGCTGAAATGGTCGGCGGTGACAGAGGGGGATGTCAATGTCTGAGAGAAAAAGGAGGAAGAGAGAGAGAGAGAGAGAGAGGAGGAAGGAAATGGGTAGGAGAGAGCAGGAGAGGAGAAGAGGAAGGAGGAGCAGATTTAGATTTGGAGAGAAGAAAGAGTAAGAAATAAGGGCATTTTCAGTTTTTCTATTTGTTTCTCTCTTTGTACTTAGTTGGCATGGAATAAAGATTGAATCACATGAAGTGATTTTTTTTGGGCTAATCCACATGAGGAAAATATGGAGAGGCTAAGTCACATGAGGTTATTATTATTGGGGCTTTGACACAATTTTCCCTTAAATCAAAGAGCATGATAGCTTTTTTTATAAATGTTTGGTGTTTTCACAGAATATTCCGTTTTTATCCTCAAACTGTTACATGGAGGGTAAATTTGAGGGATGACTATAATTTGAGTGGTAAAATTAGAATTACAAGGATTTGAGGGGCAAATTTAAATGTATCTATAATTTAAAGGGCATATATTAGGCCCCGTGAATCATATGTCCATCATAGAGGAGCTAGGTTCGTCTCTCTCTCTCTCTCTCAACTTTTATGTACGCCAATTGTCCTTAATTACTTTTAGACAACGATCAATTTGAGCAAATGCTAACTACAAATTGGCTTCTAGATCTATCAAGTTACTACAGGAGTATGATCCAATATTTCTTCTTTTTCAAAGAGAAAAAAAAACTAATAATCTCTGCTACAAAAGATTGACATTGAATGCCAATAAAAAGAGAGATGCCATCATGTATTAATATAATTTCTACGATTAAATATGAGGATACATCAATAAACTTGAAACATACAAAGATCAAACTAAAACATCTTTAAGAAGAAAGTTAGCAAGAAACTCTCCCAAAGAGAGAAAAAATGCTTCTAAAATTTAAAAAAAAAAGAAATAATGATGAAAGAAGAAAACGAACAAGTAGAGGCTTAATAAAACTACTTGGACCCGGTATGATCCAAAATGAATATCCCCACTAAGTCTTCTGCTCCAAACTTAGCCATCTATCCTTCTGCTGAATTGCTCCATTAATTCTTCTGCTGCTAAGATTCAAAGCCAAAACTAAAACTCATTACACTATGATGTGTCCATGCTCCCACTTCTTTATTTATATATATAGGGTAAGCAAGGCCAATGTGTTCCTCCATAATGATGGTTGGTGTGCAGGTGACTGGCATGCACCCATTCAGATTTACAATAATCCATGTCATTAACATAACCAGATTAGAGCACAAGGCTTGGATGTCAGTAACAAATTAAACTGTGTCGTGGAGGGAGACACCAGCCTAGCTGTCTGTTTACTCATAAATATACACCATTTATTTATAGATAACAAATTGTTTGTCTAAAGAGATGAACCTCTCATTTTAGCATGAAGAATTAGCAGAATGCACTGTACTCCAAGGATTTGGAGCTATCAACGGCATCTGCCCTCTCCCAAATGAGACCAAACCAAAGGCATCCCCTTGATGATGAGCACCGAAATTGCAACAGATTGAACCGGGGCTCGGATGATTATGAACTCCATCGTAAGTCGTGATCACATAAAGGTTATCTTCACGGTCCCTTTCTACTCTCTTCTTTACACCACAACCTTCATTCGAACAACGGTAGTAGTTCCTATACAGAGCAATTAAGGAGGATACCATAATGATTAACTTCAAGGAGCAGATTTGAGCTTTAATTATTAACAAAACTAAATAAAAAGTAGAATTCGTGTTGTTCTATTGTTTAATGTTTCCCATATAGCAACTTATTGAAGAATTAGCGTACACTATAAAGAATATTTGATTGTAAACAAAGGCAATTCACTAAAACGATTGTTTTTTTTTTTTTGCTATAAAATGAGTCTATCATATAATTTGGTGTCATTTAATTTGTAACATATAGAGAGCTAATTAAATTATTTTTATGAAGCATTGTACCTTGGATTAGGACTGTTCTTTACTGATTTCTTCCCATACTTCCTCCACTTGAATCCATCATCTAAAATCTCTACCTCAGACTTCATTCTAAATCCAATCCTACACCCTGCATCCATCTTCACTCTCTTTACCTCCCTCTCANTGGGGGGGGGGGGGGGGAAAGGAAGAAATTAAGTTAATCATCAAGCCAAGCAATACAAAAAAAAGTAGATAAAAGAACTCATACGATCAAAATTACATACATAACATTATTCATAAAGCCGTTTGAAGAACTTCCTTCCACAATTTGAGGTGACAAATCTTCGACCATGTAATCTGATAACTCAAACCCGGTCGTCTCTGATCCATTTGTCGATGAAACCTCGAATAAGAAAGGATTCATGCTCATGTTGCTCTGACTGAACCCTAGGAGATCAGCCGCCATGATCAACAATAATAAATTAAGCTCAATTTTGGTGAATGACATATATAACTGGGATATTTATATATACCAATAGTTTTGATTTTTCTGTGGGATGCTTCCCTGCTGGAGGATGGCCGGCCGAAGCGTTCCAGGGGGGAGGACCACGCTGTACTGTCAGTAGGATGATGTTGTGGGCCCGGTTTGGGGAGATTGACTTCAAACGGAAGCCAAAGTCTCTTACAACTCTTTGCATCTGTGTATATAGTGGCCAATCTCATGGATGAAGTTGTATGTTGATGTCTGATAGTGTAAGATTTTGGTCTTAATATATGTAGCATGTGATGAGACTTTAGGATATGGATTTTGGCATAAGATATAATATGAGATACTTATGTAAGCAATATACGTGAGGCCAATATGAAAATGACATATACCTTATTATTGTATCAAGACGGTCTTTAATGAATTTAATTATGTGATCCATAGTTTTGCACTGTGGGTCATAGGGAATTATCAATAAAAATGGTACTATATAAGTTGCTATAAAATGAAATTACATATGGTATAAAAATTGATGAGCTGACCGATGAGTACACTTCGTTATGACTTGGCACACAAAGAATATAAAAACTCCAGCGGATGTTTGTATGATTTGAAATAAAATTGCCTTAGGTTTTTATTTATTTATTTAAGGAAGCCAAAGGTTTTAAAAGTGACGTTCTATATATCCTACATCCCACCCCAAAAAAATAATTCTACGAAATTAACTTTATATAAAAGCTAAAATCACAATTATATGCACTCTCATATAAACATATATATATATATATATAATTATTACTTTTGAAAATTCTTTTGAGAAAAATTATCACATTGAAAATGGATGAACATTTGACTAGAAATAGGAAATGAGGGGGAGAACGACACTTTTGGAACTTTTAGGCGGATTTTCTGTCGATCATGCAAACCACAAGAGGATTTTGTGTAGTCTAACCTAAAATGTGTATATGACAAATTGAGAAGCCCTTGGTTGGTTAGAGGCAGAATGCAAGGAGAGTGAAAAGAGGATGAGAACTGGCAGCAGTTATTTTTGAAAAAAAAAAAATTCCTTATGCATGGATTTTATTGTTAGAAAGTATTTGAATAAACAAGATAACCTCAATCAGCTAGGCAGCAAATCTGAAGTTAAAAACATTGACTATTTAATTCTTGTCATTTTCTGATCGTTAAAAATAGTTAAGTCCTTTTCAGGCCAAATAAAAAGATTAAAAAAAAAAGTATGTGCAATGAACCAGATACATCACAATCAAGGATAACAATGGAAGCCCAATTTCATCCTTTTCATCATAACTTACAATTTTAATAACCGACAGGTGCTTGTTAGAGCAGTAAAGGCCATGATTGACATAAAAAAAAGTGAACTCCATTTCCCTCAGAAAATCATAACTTGTGCATTTTCCTCTTACAATAAGCAATATTTTTCCCTCTCATGTCATCTTCCTCAAAAACAACATCATCAACTGATATTGATTTATTGAGCAGTATTTCATCCACTTAGGTAATTTTATATATTATGTAAATACCACAGTCAAACACCATACATACCTACCATATTATAAAACTTATTTTCCTCTACATTTTCTAGGTAAAGTATCCAAAATAGTTTACATCAGCTATACTCAGAGAATATAGAAAGTAGAAGACAGTTAAAATGTACCACATATGATACTTCGCTAGTCGTTCAATAAAAAATGCTTTCATAATATTCTTTTAGAGAATTAGATATGCATATCAAACATCAGACTGAAAATGAAGACTTGCACAAGATTTCAGTTTCTATATCATAACATAAACATTTGACACAATCCAAGTAAAAGATTATATATATGTTCTGAAATCTTGATACGTAGGAATAAGTGAAGAAATGGCGAACGCGACGAAAAACAGTTCAGAAAAGTCCAGGAAAACTGCCAGGTTGAAGGCCGGTCAACCGGAAACGTGCACGAAGTCCAAATGCGTTCTGGAGCTGAAGGCGGTTGACCGTCACAGTCGACTGCAGAAACCCTGTAATCGATTTCGGTCTCGGGAATCGATTCGGTCGACCGCCGTGGTCGACCGTGAGTACCCTGTAGGATTTTTGTGTTCTGTCGTGGGGTGTGCGATCGACCGTCGTGGTCGACCGCGTAGCGGTTATTTTCTGGGTTACAGGTTTTGACCCGGTTCGTTTCTGAGTTGATATATAAGCCTAATCCTAATTAATTAGGATTAAGAAATGACGTTTTGATGAGTCTTTGAGAGGGGATTGTTGCATCCAATTATGAAAGATTTGTGAGAGATCTAAAGGCTTTGTTTTAGGGTTTATTTGAGAGATTTGTAACCCTATTTGTATTCTCTTAATTTCTAATAGTAAGAACTCCCCCCTCCTTGCCCCGTGGAGAGATTTGTAACCCTATTTGTATTCTCTTAATTTCTAATAGTAAGAACTCCCCCCTCCTTGCCCCGTGGACGTAGGCAACTTGCCGAACCTTCTAATAGTAAGAACTCCCCCCTCCTTGCCCCGTGGACGTAGGCAACTTGCCGAACCACGTAAAATTTATTTGTCTTGCTGTGATATTGTATTTGGCTTATTAGTTGTGATTTATCTCGTTCTTGTTCGTGTGGTTTTGAACTCCGCTACGCACAACAATAAGGAGTATGCGATGGAGGGAAACAGAAATCTTACCATTTGAGTTCAAATTCGAAAAAAAAAAGTCAACAGTTATAGGGTTTCTACATTTGTATTGTATGAGCATAAACCTATATAAATCTTTTCAAAATCAGAAGGTAAAAAAAAAAAGAAATTTAACCTTAACTTATTGCCCGATAACTCGATAAGGTCTAGGACAACTTAATAAACAGCCGTGCACGGCATTCAATTTTTGGGGAAAAATTGTGATACAAACATTCACGGTGAACATACTTATCTTTGATGAACATTTATCACATTTGATGGATTTGGACTTCAGAGGCGGCCAGCCATATTATGTCACCATCGAAAACTAATAGAAAATTACACACCATACACAAGATTTGTACTGAAATCATCTTGTCACCACCAATTTTGGTATCCATAACAGTCTCAAATTTGTCAGCTTGAAACCTTAGCCGCCTCGTGAATTATCAAATACAGCTCTAGAGAAAAAAGAATATTAGTTAATTATTAATGATACCGATAAGTTGGCTTAGAGTCTAACATTTCCTAACTTAAGAGATAACTAGTGGCCACGTACAGAAAGATGAAAAGGACTATCATGACCATGTTCTCCCTATCTATTTTTGCATAGGAAACTTCCTTCGAGACCTCAAAGAAATGGAGGTCAACTAGTAAAACTGATTTCTGAGAAATTTCTGGGTCTCAGCTAAGGAGGCTGTAGGATTGAGAATGATGAACAAAGATGTGACATTTTCTTGATATGATCAAGCATTTGCACTTGTACAGGTTTTTAGCCTTCTGGGGTACAAAAATTGCTAAGTTGAGAGGCATGGAGAGGTTCCGACGACCTCTGAATTTTGAGGCAGATGATTTCTTGCTAAGCCTGAAAATAACCTGGTTTTAGAGTATAAAAGTTGTATCCTTCTGGTAGGTAACTCATGTTCAGGTTTTTCAGAATTCTAAACTGAAGTTAGATACATACAGATGTTTTGCAACCCTGAAGTCTGTTGATTTGTACTCTTATTATAATTTCTTTTTTTCGGTCGTTTTTTTTTTTTTTTTGGCGGGGTCCGGAACTCTAAGATGATTCGTAGGCTGAAATACCACCCAACAACATATAAAATTTCTAAAATTCACTTTAAATGCGTGCACTTTATATGCACTTCAAAGTTGTGCTAAAGATTAAAGATTATAATTTAATGCTGTTACATTCTCTTTTGCAAATTGAGTACTTTTTTCTAATGTGTCATGCGGATTTGAACACATGAAAACTTGGATGTTAACTATATTGAAATTACTTCTGCAACATTAAAACGTGAACTATAATAACTTGAGCCCCTCGACCTTTCAGTATAACTCACATCCAACTTTATAAGTGAAATCTTCAGTAATTTAGGTTTACAGAACCTCAGAGCAGAATTTGCAAGGTTTCCTGAACCTGTGCAGTCATTAGAATTAACCTGCTCTGCAGCAGTACAAATTGAACAGAAACAAGTTTCCTGACCAAACACGTTGCAGCGCAAACTACACTAATCATTGAGATTAGTCTTGAACCCTGTTTGCCTGCAAAGAGTTAATATATTCTCTCTATGCATACCAACATGTTCAAGCGTTTCAGATAACGACATATTTCTTCTTTGTACATGGTACTTAACAGTTAAAAACGTTAAGATGCTTTCACCTACAGTAGCATGAACAGAAAATTGCATGTCTAATCAACTCCTACATCACATTCGTAAATCATATCAGAGTGCCATCAGTCCTCAAAACTGACTAAATCTAGTTGCATGGCCCCTGGAAGGATGCTGTTTGTTCAATCTACAGCTCAGTACCAAAACCCTCGATCTGAAACCAATCAAAGTTTTGACCGTCGCTCGAGTTTCTACACGCCCATGTTATCGGTTTAAAGCATCTTCCAAGTTATTCAGACCATAACTTGCTACTCAGAAATTTACAGCTGCAACTATAGTTTCAAATTTGCCACAAAAAAAAAAACAAAACAAAACAAAACCTTAACACTC